GTTTGGGGATTATAAGCAGCGTACTTCATTATAGATAATTAGTCCAATCATACACGTGTTTAGAGTCCAATAAGCCCCCAAAGCGACACAATGTACGTTCGTACACACGTGCTTCCTTCCATTTGTAAACTGTTTCCACACTCTGTTGGTTTGTCGATGACGTGTTAATTAGTAAGATTTCAAGTAAAATGGGAAGTGAGGATATAAATTCAACTCATCCTAAAATCTTCTGCATCCTGCTTATTGTTTTAAAATAAAATTCACACAGCTTCCGGTACAAATATGGCGGTTGTTGCCAACGCATTTTAGAAGATCTACTACCCAGCTTCTAAAGTTCAAGGCCATATACTATCAACCCATGTGTATAAAATTGTGTATGTGGCAAGGTATGCTTAAACATACATTATGCAAGAGCTATATCTGCCAATTGCATGTCTTTCTTTAGGCCTGAAATGTTTTCTAAATTATTAATTAGACATTAATTAACTTATCCAGGCCATAATCAACTCTCGATGGCATCGGATTTCTCCGATATTAAATAGATTAGAACAGTTCAGCCATATTTTGATTTAAGCTAAAAATGGAGGAGCGAGACTTAGCTTCGAACAACCAGTACGGTGGTTGAAATTATTGCACACGTCTTGTCAAACTTTCAAAGGCTAATATTTTCGCTCGCAATAGAGTACATGTAATTTGAATGAAATTTTCAAATTATTCATTTTACATTATCTCTTTTCGAACTGTCATAGCAAGAATGGCTAGCTCTTTATCTAAATCTTACATAATTTATCTTTAATATTTCTAAAACAACTTATCCCATTTCTCATTTGAGAAGTTCACATAGCTTACTATATATATATGATCAAACTGTTCCATCTCTGATTTTCTTGACTGTAGATCGATTTTCATTTCTTGCCGTTAAATCTATGTATTTGAGTATGCCAATGTATGCAGGAATAACTGTGTCTAGGGACTGTTATTATTTATGCATGCCGGTGGTTTAATCCCACGCTTTTATGTGACAATTCTTATGACTGCCTGTCTTACCTCGTCGGTTTCCTCCCACTTTTATACCACAGACTGGTCTCAAAATGGCCACCCGAGTTGTTCGGATTTATTCGGTAATTGGTATCCCAAAAAAAGGTGTTTTCAGTGTTTTATCGGTATTTTTCGGTACTTTTCGTATTTTTTCCCGGAATTTTCGGTATTTTAATAACTTTTTCGGTATTTAAGACAGGGCTGTATTTGTTATTTACTGCAACTGTCTCTAAATTTAAACTGAGCTCATTCAGTTATTTATTACGATAAATCTACTTCTGTGAAAGTTTTTAAATGAAGGTTTTATCGTGCGCTGTAAAGTTTATGTTACCTCTTAAGTTACCTTAGGAGTTATTTTACCCTTTGATTTAAAACAAAAATAGAGACAAGTTCTACTTAAGACATTGAGTAGACAGGTCTTTCTTTAACTGTTTTAGATCATAAACACTCGCCCTTAGTATCATTTACCAATAAGCCGTCCATTTTTATTACCACCTTGAATTCTTTTTTAAATTAAAGAAACACCGTGGTGCTTTTTAACTGCTAATTTACACTAACTTATAATGGGTTCATTTCCGTTGGGTGACTCCTCTTTTTTTCGCCATTTCAGGAGCCAGCTTCGATTACTGTACTGGCTGAAAAGGTCTTCGGGAGTTACGAGCCTTGCTTTCTCCATGTCAGTTGTGCAGGAAGCCTGTGACGAAAACAAAAGTAACGTGTCGAAATAAAAGGAGGCGAACGCCCACAGTACAACGGTTAGCACACGGGGTACAACGTTGCCTCCATTCCATTAGCCATATATTTTATTTTTTGGCAAGACAGTTTCCATTACGTGCACGAGGCAGGGTATGCTTATTTATTTTTGAAAACACATAATACTACTTAGCGGTTATCCTGAAACTTCACATGGATAACACATTTTATCGTACGTTTGTTTTTATTATAAACCATTATATAAGTAAGTTGGGTCCTTATCGTTATATAGTTGACCATTACTATGTGGACTTTCCAAATGGGGAAAACTAATCCCACTTAAAAAGTGGTACCAGGTGTTCAATTTGAACCGTGTAAACACTAAAAAATGTTATGAGTTTTAATTGAGGAGCGATATAAATTCTTGAAGACAATTAGAGAAGAAAGTGGTTAAGAGTGTGCCCGACATAATCATAAGTTAAGTTTAAAAAATAAGTTAAGATTGGAAATTGTATCGCCATGACCTCTATTAAACTACCCAGTGCCGCTATTATTTGATTTAATCCAATTTGCTAATGACTGAAAAAAACTTAAGGCGTTCTCTACCTCGTACATTATCTAAGAAAAAGTATTAAAAATTCATCTATAGCATATCTGTGACTATGAAAATATTTATAGTAAAATTCGACAAAGGGTGGCTGGTGAAAAAAGAGGCCGTAGAGAAACCATCTTTTTAGCGGAGTTTGTTTTGGTTAGCAGTGGGAAGCAACCGCCCTACGCCGAACTTAAACAAACTATGGTAACGTCATCCCGCCACTTGCAGCCTAGCGGAACCAGAGTAGAGTTACCCATTGTAATACAGTGTTAGGGTGTAGTCTTTAAGCTGTCTGAGAGAGAACCCTGTCATAAATTTAACGATTCTATATGGCATTGTAAAATATAGTTAGACTCAAGATTAGAAAAGAAGAAACTCGTGTTCCACCAAGTCCGCGTCTTTCCATTTAGTATCTAATATTCGAGAAAATCCTGTTCTATATTGTCTATTTAAAGCTTAGATTTCGATAATATGCACTTTAACAACTTGGTATTTTTACAATATAAAGACACCTGGGTCACCTGTTTTGTTTTTCCTTGTATTATAAAAACTCTCCGGATCATATGTTTTGTTCTATGTAAAACAAAGACCCCACAGGATAAGTAAACAGTTAACATGGAAGTAAGGTACACGTGTAACTTATATGCTGCATAACCAGCCTACATGTATAACTAATATACATGTAGAACTAATGTACATATATAACTAATGTACATATCTATCTAATGTACATATATAACTAATATATATGTATAACTAGTATAACTAATGTACATATATAACTAATGTACATGTATAACTAATGTACTTATATAACTAATATACATGTGTACACGTGTAACTATTTGATTCCAATGGGTTTCGTTACAAACGCATTATTTAAGTTTCATTTCTTCACATGGTAAATTATAAATTTAAAAAAAAGATATGTAGTAATTGAACTGGAAAGATCATGACTTAAGATGTTTCTAGAAACTGCATTACTGAACTCTGGGTTTCTACGGCTAAATTTATTTGTTAAGGCCAACTCATTTTTCGCCAAGTTCGCTGAGATGTAAACAAGTTTAGACCATGTGATTTTTGGCGAGATTGTAGGTTAGGGTTAGGGTAAGCATTAGGGCTAGGCCCAGGGTTAGGATTAGGATTGGGATGGATAAGCGCTAGCCCTGTTTACATCTCGTGACCTTTGACCAAACTTGAAGTTGGCCTTATCAAATAGACATAACCGGGTTTTTACAGACTTAGTTTATCTGATACTAAGACTCTAAACACAAATTGTCATCATAAAATCAACCGGAACGTATCTTTATTCCGTGGGAAAAATACATCCACATATCTTAAGTCTTAAGAGGAATACGTCTTGCGTGAGAAAACATAGTAGTGATTATCGCTAGGGTTATCTTAAAACACAAAACTAGTAAATCATAATTTGTCTGTTATTTAATGTTTACATGTTTCCAAACCACTTACTTTTTAAAATATATTTTTTTTCTCTCAGAAGCATGGAGCGTCATATCTTAAACCCACAGCTAAATCTTAATGTAATTTAGATTAAGTTACCAGTCGGGGATATACTAGTTTATGAAATCTAAGCAAACGGCACCTTAAGATTGAAATTTTAGTATGCACAAAACTGCGAATAACATGAAATTCAGTAGCCGTAGAAAGCACCAGTAAAGTTTGGTTACAGTGGATGTGTTGGGGATAAAAAAGCTATTAGCCATTGCGAAGATTTTAGGTGACCATATCGTCATCTTTTTGTAATTGAACCATTTTTCGACAGAATTTCCATATAGAGGTTCAACTCTTAGTAGACTTTAAGTCATTAAATCATATTACTATCGATAGTAAAGGATATTCAGAATAAATGCAGGATGACATCGTAGTGTTATAGTGTGTGGACTTATACATGATTCAGTAGTATTGGGTGTTTGAAAATATTAGGCATATACTGCCTCGCTTGGATCAATCGACAGTACATTAATACTGAGTCCAAAATATACACAATAAAACTGCCTCGGTGGGATCGATCGACAGTACACTAATACTGGGTCAAAGACGTACATAATCACACTACCTCGCTGGAATCGATCGACAGTACGCCGAGTCAATACATAATCAAACAAGACAGATACAGCCTACTTGGGCAGACGACCCTACTTCATGTGACGTACCTGTGTGGGATCGAAACCCCATGTCTTAGACCATTCGCCCCACCCCAACCCCCGAGTGGACATGAATATAACGGATAAATATATGGGAATATATCTTTATATTATGCATACCCCCAGTATAAATATGTTACGTAAATTTGCCAATGTGTGTTTAAAGCTAATGGTATTGACATGTATAGAGCTAATAAAGTCGTTCTAGTTATTTCTTACCATGTATATTAACATAATGTTTTTGCGTTTTTATCTGAGTATCTTCTGTGATAATTGTATTTAGTGTAGTAGGCCTATACAATTACTATGCGATTTACGACCAAGACTTCATACGTTGCCAACTATGAGGAATATACCGACACTTGATATGGCTTTCAACGTCGGAACCATTTGATTGACGTGGTGGGGTCTAGCAATCTAAATTTACACCCCCTTCCCTGGTCTCTGATTGGCTCGACATGATGCTTTATACAATACATTCTCGTCAAAGTGGAAACGGCAGTTCTATATTGTTCTTTTGAGTTGCTATCTACTTTCAGAAGATTCAAATTAGCTTTGCTACCTTCTTCATGTACCTCTTCAAACATTGCGAGATAAAGGAGATAAATTTTTGTGGTTATTTCAATCATTTCGTATTAGTTTTGGATAGCCTCACCAACTCATCCTCTCATGTTCATGCAACTCTCTTGCGTTAGAAAACTAGTCTGTGTTGTGTTTTGTATCTGAGCCAAAACGAGACCCGATAGAGCGCTCTTATCTTAATTGGCGAAGAGTGTTGAATGACACGATGATTACCGAACAGCAGTTGTCACAGGATTCGGCAGACGATAAGTTTAGATTGTCGGATTCCTCGGAAAATGACACCGAAGATTCACGAAGTAAAGATGACAATATCGACTCGTCGCTGGACTCGGAAGAAATCGGAGAAATAAATAATTCCCGGAAGAGGATGTTTAATCGGTCAGGTGACATGGGTTGCCAAAGTTTAAAAAAGATGCGTCGCAAACAGCCGCAGACGTATGAAGACATACAGACTCAGAGGGTCATGGCTAATGTGCGTGAACGACAACGGACCGAGTCACTGAACGACGCCTTTGCTCAGTTGAGGAAAATCATCCCGACTCTACCTTCCGATAAACTCAGTAAAATACAAACTTTAAAACTAGCCTCTCGTTACATAGATTTTCTTTATCAAGTTCTACGTAGTGAAGACGCCGATTCCAAAATGGTCAACTCATGTAGTTACATGGCCCATGAACGATTAAGTTATGCTTTCAGTGTGTGGCGGATGGAAGGAGCTTGGGCTATGAACGGACATTGACACAACAAGTGAGACGTTTTTAATTTCCAACTTAAAAGTTTGTTGCCAAATGTGGACATAAGGCTGTTGTCCATCGAAGATATTTATCTTCAGTGTTCATTACAAAATTCTTAATCTTCAATCCAAAGATTACTTATTTTATTCAAGGGAATAGAAAACATGCGGCCTGCCAAGGTAAGGACACAATCGGTGTAGGTTGAACAATGTTCCTGAAAGGAAGACAATTGGTGAAGGATGATGACTTCACGGGGTGTGCCGCTGTATGGAATGTTCGACTGGAGGTTGGGTTTGAATGATTAAATAATAGAACGAAACAAACAATGATTATTAGCTTAATTACATTAATGATGAATGCTATAACTGATAAATGAATCACGCGTGCCAAATATAGAGTATATAAATCTGTTATATATTTTTATCATGTTTTTATTGTGTGTTTTAATTATTAAGTTTTCAGTGTGTTTGTTTTTGTGAAATGGATACCATAGCTAGTTTAAATACAGAGCATATTTATACGAAATCAATATTAGACATGTTTTCGTTTTTAATTAAGTGAACAAAAAAAAAATTCCCTTTTCTCATTAAAGCATAAAATGAAATAAAAATTTTAATTTTGAATAGAGAATTTCCGAATTTTGTTATTCAAATAGAATTTAATTGTATGTATATTAAAATAATTTCATATTTAATATATGACTAGAATATGAAGTAGGATCAAATTAGAGCTATTTTTGGACTTAATAGAGATCCCATTCAATACCAAATATTGCAATACATCAATTGACATTTCATAATTTTTTGTGCGTTGTTTACAGATTCATTTAAAAGCATAGACGAAGCAGATAGAATCTTAACTTCAAATCGAAAAGTACACCGTTTGTCTGAACGTGACATTTTCTAATGATGTTTTTTTTAAAGGGAAGGGGGAAAGTTTGGTATGGGTAGAATTATAGGGCAAACAATATCTTGTATTCTTGTATTTTTCACATATTTTTGGATCAGTAAAATTAGTAAGTGTTTCAGTTAGATACCAATAAATCCTTTCAATTCAAATGTTATTAATATTCATAGAAAAATGTTGTTTTTTTTATATTTTATCTCTTTTTTTTCTGAAAAGCAAATACTTTGGTGGACATTAAAGGGATACTTTTCTTTTTGGTTTATAAAACTAAAATATTTCTTTCTATATTTTAGAAATGGATATTGCTAAACGACGCAATATATAATAAATATTTCCTTATTGAATTGTTCCTTTATTAATTTTAATATTGGGCATTAATTATATAATATTTGTTTATGTAAATTAATTTAAACTCTACAGAGATTGGGGTATCAATCCTTTGTACATTTTTACAAAAGACTCCACTTTAAAGAAAGTTATGAACATATGAATGTCTTAATCTTGCATAAAAATGTCTTAAAGTTAAAAATTTGACACTAGGCTTGTAACTTAAACAGTTCACCAAGTCAGTAAGGATAGAAATCTAAATTAATGAAATTTGATGTTTACGGAAAAATAAACATAATTCAATTATATCTTTATATGCCATGAGAAAATTTAAAACGAGAAAAATTAAGGACTTTAGCTTTTTAAATCGCTTAAGCCTTATCTCCATGGTATTCCGCGGGAGAAATCTATGCACGTGCGTGCCTTCTATATATCCTTAACGCAGCAATACTAGTGCCAGAAATGCCACGTGCATTTGTTTGTTTATAATCTAAAATATTTTGGTTATGATTTCGATCTCTTTAATATATGTTTGTTGCATTCCATGTATGATGTTTCTAGATATGAAAGGTATAAATAATATCCCTTTGTTTGTTATTATTTTTTTCTATACTTCCTTTACGTTCCGCGTCATCTTTCATTATCAATGGGTTTCGAGGATAGTGTAATTCTAACTCACGGCCTGTCGAGCTTATTTGAAGCTAACAGGCACTTTGCAATATAAGAAATTATTCTATTGTATTTGTTTCTTGCCTCATCCTTTCTTGTCTTTCACTTAATTTATTTAAAGACGGGCCATGGCCAGATTTGTAGAAAGTGTTTTATTTTTCTGCAGTGATAACAATACGTTTGGTGGTATAAAAGTTCGAATAATACGAAAAATCGAGGTTCACGATAATACGCATTGGCGTGCATAAGAACCCTTGACAGTTGAAATTCGATAAACCAGTACGCAAAACATTCGCCGCCCGCTGACTATAGTAAATGCAAATAGGTGTTTTTCAAAAAGACAAAAGACATTAAAATCCATTCATTTCATTTCACACTAAAACGACTCAACAATTTAAGGTTGTTTTCATTATTGCAAGTTATTCAGAATACAAATACGTCATGCATGTTATCCAATGTTAGTCAACGGTCGTTATTTACATCGTTCTGGGAACAACTTTATGATAGCGTTTGTCAAGAAGATTCTGTTGCTACTTCCTGTTATCACACGAGGTCCCAAATTTGTTTTTCTACAAAAAATACTGAACAAAACATTTTGACAAAACTTCGGAAATTAACCTTATCGTGATGTGCATAATTTCCGGTTTTGTTTACTAAATTGAGTGAGAGTCTGGTGATTAACTTTTTAAAGTTCATGATTTGAGTATTGCTATTCATTTGACTAGAAACCTTTAAACAAAATGAAACTAGACCTACACAAAATAATCCCGCATAGTTTACAGCTCCTGAATTTGTGCATGGCCGTGTTGGTGAACCATTTGCTCTAGAATCGAAGAAGAAACATTTAATTTACAGTTCTTCCAATTGTGGTGAACATTCGTGATTTAAGGCAAAGGATAAAATAGACGGACTGTCGTAATATATACAGCGGATTAATACTAAACTATAACACATACTTATGGTAAAACAGTTACTAAATTGATTAGGTTGAAAATGTTGATAGAATATTCTTTGAAACGTCACCCAAATAAATTAGCTGTTTTCCATAAGTATGTGTTATAGTTTATTGCTCTATCCAGTTAGGTGGTTGAATGACCGAATGGTTAGCGCGTGCGCCTTGTATCATCAGGTCTGTTATTGAGTCAACTGGCGTGGTTTCGATTCCCCGGTTGTACGTGACAAGGAAAGGATTGCCTGTCCAACCTCGTAGGTTTGCTCCGGTTTCCTCCAACTGCTAAAGACCCCTACGCGCAAGCGAATTATTGAAATACAATTAAACCATATGTTAGTCCCGAAATGACCTAGATTGTGTCGAGTGATCTTAAAATCCCATTTCTCTTTCTCTCTCTCTATCCAGTTACTAAACGCATCTAGAATATTAGGATTAATACTAGCATGTTACTTCTAGATTGTGTATCTCTAAAATGTCCATGGTCAGCTTTATAAAAAACGTGGAAACAAACATCGTCACATGTTGCTCTTTAAGTGGTAGAAAGGGTTCAGAAATTATGGAAGAAGCTAGAGCGGAATAGATGATAATTAATACTGAGTTAATGTGTAATCCATGGTCTGTGGCCAACTAAAAGTAGATGAATGAACAGCTTCTGGAATGAGAGTGGAATAACTTTGTTGATGCTCCAATTCCAATATCTACCTCCCAGCTAATACCCTGTTATTTTTATTAGGCGTGATAACAATACGAGGGTATTTATTGAAACTTCGCGGATATGTAGAACAAACCATTGATTGTTGTCCTATATAACTGATCTTGTTTTGTTGTCACCAATCGTTAAATACCACTAAAGGATATGGAGCTTATTGATGTCTTATGCCTTGGTCCCACTGGGCATTTTCTGCCTCGGGGATATACTACCGGAAATTGATGTCTCAGGAGGTGTCGGGAACAGGTTCACCGATGTACCGGGAAGCTTCGGAAGCCATGTGGAACCATCGGGAGACATCGGAAGAAAATTTTGTTGATTTCCACCTCGCCGATGATTTTTCCTCAGTGGGATCTAGGCATTACTTTGTTTATTTACCAGAAAGAAACTCGATTTATGAGCGTCATAGACGGATGTTTGTAAACCAAGGGGTTGATAATCCAATGGCATGGTTATATATCAGAAGAATGCTTTCAAGCAAATGCCTTTGTCGGTTGGAATATAATGTATAAAGATATTTTTAACGTTAAAAACACCGTAAAATGTTTATTTTTAGCCAATATTGTGACCCAATTCTTACATAATCCATTAAATTTATAACTGAATCAAGTAAAGTTCAAAAGTCAATTCAATATTATAGTTCAAGGCAGCGCACCAAAACCATTTATTCTTTTATTTTCAAAGGGACATTTGCCAGTAGAATTTTGACTTTTTTTTATTGGTCCACTATAAACGTTTATGTTTATTACATTCACCTTTGTGTGTTAGTACAAATATTCGTTCACCTGGTGTATGCATTACATGTATTCTATATCATAAATATATGTGCTCTATTATCACTGTTTGACATTTTAAAAATAATTTTGATTTTTTTTCATTGGTCCACTAGAAACCTTTTTGTTTATTGCATTCACATTTGTGGGTATATCGTGTATGGAAGACCAAACAGCTCTTTATTCGGTGTTCTTAATTCTTAGTTCTTAATTCATAGTCTTCTTGGTGTATATATTACATGTATTCTATATCATATGTGGTTCTATTATCACTGGCTGCAATTTTCAAAAAAATGGTCTAAGAATAGTAATTAAGATTGCAGTTTCTCGAGGTATAACAAACCTTAAAATCCCCAGATCCGTTTTACTTTATACAAGAACTCCACCGATTGCTTTATAAATTCAGATGGAGGCCATAGTGGCTAAGTGGGTAATTCCCTAGCGGCTAGCCTGGAGGTCGCGGGTTCGCTACCGGCGTTGACCGAAAATGTTTATTGGAATTTTGAGCAGCGTGGTTTCCCCTTGTCAGTGGTACAGGGTCGGGGGGGGGGGGGGCTGACACGGACAACTGTCTAGTCGTTCGGATGGAACGGAAAACCGAGGATCCGTGTACACATTGGCGTGTACTTAAAAGTGTCCCTTGACAGTTGGAATTTGATACAAGAGTAGGCCTTAGCGCCGCTGTCCGGACAAAATTTCCCTCATAACACACTGTATGGCAGAACAGTAGGACGTTAAACCCCGTGCCACGCCATGTTTTAATGTTATTGTTCGAATCACCATGTCTGCCAAATGTGTAGACAGTATATAGA